ATTTTTGATTGGGAATTTTTCCCAAAATTGGCGGTGTGGCGCAGAAAGTTGTGGGACTAAGTGACTTGCACTATATTATTATTATGTATATTTTTTAGTTTATAAAGTTGTCCTACTGAATGACGTAATCGAAATTAAAAAAAATTTTTTGATTTGAAAAAAAAACATGTCTGAAGGAAAATTAGAGAAACCTGAACAAGACTTTACGCAACTTGTTGATAAACAGTTACCAGAAACTGAGACATTGGCCACGGTATATATATGAGATTTGAATTAAATAAAATAAATCTAATTTAACATTTTATTCAATATAGCAAGGGCTTCTTTCAGAAGCTTTAGAACAGTTAATGGGACTTGAAAAGCAAACACGTCAGGTATTTACTTTTCATTATTTTTGGAGGAAAAAAAGTTATTTCATTCAATTATTATAAAATTTAATTTTTTGAAATTTAGGCAGCTGATTTAGCTTCTTCTACTCGTGTATTAGTTCACATTGTTAAATTATGTTATCAGGCAAGGGACTGGAAATTATTAAATGAATATGTAATATTACTTTCAAAGAAGCATGGACAATTGAAACAGGTACAAATATTCTTTTTAATTAAATTAGATGCCTTTTTATCAAGCAACAAAAGAAATAATGAAAGAATCAGAAGAGAATTCACTCCAATAATTGATCTCAATTCATTCGATTATTTTAGGCAATCACAAAAATGGTTCAAGAAGTTATGACTTATCTTGATGATACACCAGATAAACCAACAAAACTAGAGTTAATCGATACTTTGCGTACAGTTACTGAAGGAAAAGTATGTGTATATTAAATTGATTTTGTTTCAAACAATAATAATTTCATATTATATTTATTTATACATATGTGTATGTGTGTATATATATATCCATAGATTTATGTAGAAGTTGAACGTGCAAGATTGACACGTTTATTATCCAAGATCAGAGAGGAAGACGGCAAAATTAATGAGGCTGCTGATATTCTACAAGAATTACAGGTTTTTTAATTATTATTTTTTTAGGGGGAGGGGTTTATGGTTTATATAGTTATAATTGATATACATTCATTTGACATATATAAGGTAGAGACATTTGGATCAATGGAGAAAAGGGAAAAAACAGATTTTATTTTAGAACAAATGCGATTAACTTTGGCAAAGAAAGATTATACAAGAATGCAAATTATTAGCAAGAAAATCAACACCAAGTTTTTTGCAGATGTTGAACAACAAGTATGTATATATATATATATATATATTTGAATTATTTTTTTTATTATTTTAGTATTTGAAGATTATATTTAATGTTTAATATTTATGTTGTAGGATTTGAAACTTCGATATTATGAATTAATGATTCAACATGCATTGCATGAAGACCAACATTTGAATGTTTGTAAATATTATAGACATGTATATGATACACCGTCAATCAAGGAAGATGAATCTAAATGGAAAGGAGTGAGTTTATGAAGTTTTGTACAGTGATTGGTTGATTGGTTTATTTATTTATTAAAAAATAAAATTTTTTTTAATTAATAGGTTTTAGAAAATGTAATTTATTTTATTATTCTTTCGCCATATGATAATGAGCAAAGCGATTTATTGAATCGTATATACAAAGATCCTAATCTTGTCAAATTGGCTTTACACCAGTAATTTATTATTAAATTATTATTTTTTAATCTTGTCCTTAATTAATTAATTGATTAATTATATTTTTTTTTTTAATTAAAAAAAAAAGTGAACTTACTAAGCATTTTATAACACCTGAACTGATTCCATGGTCTATGATTCAAGAAACATATGGTACAGCATTGAGACAAACATCGGTCTTTTTGCAAAATGATGAATATGGAGAAAAACATTGGCAAGACTTACATAAACGAGTGATTGAACATGTACGTAAAATAGAAAAATGATTACATTATTTTTATTATTATAAAGTTTATTAATTTAATATTTTATATATATATAGAATATACGTGTTGTAGCAAAATATTATAAAAGAATCAGAACAAAGAGATTGTCTCAATTATTGGATCTTAATGATCAAGTAAATAAATATATTTTATATTAGAAAATTTTAAAAATCATTGAATCAATTGACTGATTAGATTGCTTGATTGATTAATAATAGGATACTGAAGACTTTTTATCAAAACTTGTGGTTTCCAAAACCATTTATGCAAAGATTGATCGACCAGCCGGAATTGTTTCTTTTGCGGAACCTAAAGATGCAAACCAAGTTTTAAATGATTGGTCAAATAATATCAATTCTTTATTGGGTCTAATTGAAAAAACATGTCATTTAATTACAAAAGAAGAAATGTTACATAGTATAGCTAGAGTGAAATAAATATTATGTATTAAAAACGATTAAAATTAAAATATAATAAATTATTATTATTCTTCTTCTTTTGAAGAATAGAAATTCTTGAAGCAAAATATGTAAGTTGTTCAGGTAAGTAATAAACAGTGTAAGTGATTAGTGAGTGAGTGTTAGACGAAAGTCTATCCATATATAAATATAATATATTGTACATTTATTGATTCAACACAACTAAATAATGATTTTTCCTGGTGTTCGAGCATATACAAAACATTTGTGATAATTTTCAAGCGCAAGCAAGACATTATTATCATTATTTTTTCTTAATATCCTTGCGCATTTTATAAATTTTGATTTACGTGATTTTCATTTCATTGGCCAGAATTTCGCAAACAGGCTCTCTGCCTGTATTCATGAAATTCTTTGTTTGTTTTTTTGCCTGCCTGCCTGACCCAGGACCCTCACAAAACTATATAGCTGGGTCAAATTTTATAGAAAAAGACCTAAAAAATTTACTACAGTCTAAGCTCTTTTATACCGAACCTCCGAGAACCGAACTGCTCTCTATAATGAACCAAGGTTTTGGTCCGATTTTTTATTAATTAATTTACTCTGTATAACGAACTTTATAATTAAATTCAGCTGATTTCCGAAAAGAATTAAGCTTCCGAAGTCAAAACCCATAGGTTTCTTTGAGAGGCTATTACTCCATAATTGGAAGAGTTACAAACGCATAAAGCTCGCGTTTTAAAGGTCAAAAGTAGTGATTGTTTTTACTTGGAGGCACGAAAATTGTTTAATAATGAGTTTACGTTCAATTCATTCGCCAAAGACTGAAAACGTGTCATTATTAATATCGGTGACTGTGAAATGTCGTCCGACTAATATATAAATGGAGCTCTATACCGAACAGTGCACAAAAATTGCGTATAATCTCCATAGTTGGTTAGCGTGCGTAATTGAATTTTTACCAACCTAAAAACTTATTAGTGGCATTTCGGTGAAAGCAAATTTTGTGTATTTGGCATACTAAAATTATTGTAAATAAAAAAAATTCATTATCTACTAAAATCAAATTAGAATTCACATTGGAATATGAACATGCCCCCCATAAAATAAACTATATCTTGTGGTGTAAATATGAATTGTAATGTCACCTCCTGCCATGTTTTCACCATGAAAAATATCGTTTGAGATACTGGAATATAAACTTTAATAGAAATATATGATAAAATTACCCAAAAGTCCTGCTGGCTTTTCAATCCATGCATGTCTTTGTCCACGTTTTTCATAAAATGCAATAACTTTTCCCAAACACAATATATTATTAGAAAATACTAATAAAATCCATTCTTGCATAATGGATGAGCATCAGAAATATCTGCAAAGCCAAAGATTAGTTACTAAAAAAAAAAAAAATTAATTAAGTCATTATATTACATATAAACTAAAGAAATAGTTTTACCACATTTGCAAATAACTTGTTTAGCTGATCTATCACAAGTATAACAGGTAACCTTTTTTCATAGCCTATGTTCGCGAATCAGCGTGACCTGTAACATTTTTCTTTGCGAATTATAGTGTAACCGGTGACCTTTTTTTTTCCTTATTAACGCGAATATAAGGTGGGCGGTGTCATTTTTAAATTTTAAAGTACCTTTCGAATCATAGTGTTGGCGGTGACATTCAATAGAGTTTTTCCGGTCCTATTGTTTCTAATAATAATAATGCATATACATGTGAACGACATGTAATCATATGTGGTTGCAACAATAAACTATTATTCATAATTGATGATAATGTGACAATGATTGACACTTTCTCTATAATGAACGCTCTCTATACTAATACCGAATGAAATTTCTCGGTCCAAGGAGTTCGATATAGAGAGCTTTGGCTGTATTAGAAAATGCAATGTTAGTGAAAAATCACCAAATTTGTAATCTATATCAAACCGTGATTTTTGTATGTAACCTTCTATATAGTTTTCATCTATACTCAACGAATTTGAAATATTATGTGATCCACATGTTGGATTTTAAAAAACCGCCATCATTCAATTCAGCTTTAAAAAGGAGTCAATTCATGTAAAAAAAAATGTTACAATATTTTGAATTGCATGATCAATTTGGTCGTTAATCTTTTTCATTATAATAGTAAAGAACTCAATTTCAAAATACTAAGGCCGGCCAATTTCTAGTTTAAGAAAAACAGCCAATAATAAATAATAAGTTTTGAAGCTTTGAGCCATGACTATAAAACTCATCGGATAACTTTTTAGTCTGAATGCAATTAATTGATTATCATCGTGATCTGCCTGCCACCATATAAAAATCATATGTTGATCATCTGATTTTGATATGTGTAACTAATGAACCTCATTGATGACAACATAGATTTGCAAAGTTAAAGAATTTGTTCAAAAATGAGAAATTTTATTAGATGAAATTATTCATTGTGAGTAAACATTCATTATTTATATCGTAGATCTTTTTTTTTTTAATTTTTTGATTGTTATTAATAAACATAAATCATTGAAAAACATTGATTCTAATGTTCATTGTTTTATTTAACTATGAGAAACTGGGCTAAAAATAGTAATTTAAAAATCCGGATTTTTAACAAGTTGCTGAATATTTTTCCTTTTTTTTTTTTTGTATAGATTTTTCAAAAAATTTAATATCTAGAAAGGAACAACCAAAATCATCTTTTGAAGGTTCAGATGATTTGACAATTCAGGGTTCAAATGATGATACTTCAAAAGCATCGAATAAAAAAAGAAAAAATAGTGAATTAAGTGTAAATCGTGTTAAAATGTCAAATAAAAAATGCATTTAAAAAAAATCAGAAGTTTCCAGTATGTATGGTTAAACATATATAAATGGTTAAAATATGACAGAGAAAAAAATCAATTTGCAGGAAAAGGTGACAAATAAATATAATTCATATAATTAATATAATGAAATGATTTACTAGATGGCAAATGAAGATATTCCAATTTCCAAACTTCCAAGTCTTATTAACCTAGGTTATACTCTTCAAGTTCCTGATCTATTTTCTTTAAATAACACCGTTACATATGAGAATAAAAATTTGGACAAGTATTTTGGAATAAAATTTAGGCAAATAAAACTTATTATTACGTAAATCACAAAATTTTCTTACTAATTTGATATCAACCCGAGCTCGTTAGGGAATTTAGTTGGTCTTTTAGATGGGTCAACATCCCGACACTTTTTCATCATTTTTGCATATTCTTTTGGCATATTTGATGAAATCGGTAGTAAATCTTTACAAATTTCAATAATTAAATGATGGTCATGTGCTTTATTATCAAAAGGTGGATATCTCCCACATAAACATTCCAATGCTATATACATCTGATTCTTTTGTATTTTGCTTGTTTCTCGAAGAACTTCAGGTGCAATATATGATATAACTCCATATATTTTGTTTGATGATTCATCATCAACTGGCCCACATAATCCCAAACTGTGATATAACAACCACTACCTAATTTTATCTTTTAAAGTTAAATTTGAATGAAGTAATTTTCTTTTTTTTCTGGGAATTTAGTTAATACCATAACAGGAAACAATACCTCCAAATTTAATTTAGTGCCTGAAAATCAATTAGTATATATTTTTTTAATTTAAAATAATTACTACTGACCTCTTCAAAAAATTTTTTCCCCAATTCATTTGAATTATTTAGTAGTTTTTAATGCTACACCATGAGATCCATAATGACTAAATTCTTTTTTGTTTTCATCATATTCAAATATATGCCTTTTTTCCATGTAGCAACATAAATACTACCAAAACCTACTTTAGTTAAATATTCCACTTCTTCGAATTGATCAAATAGAATCCATTCAATAATTTGTGTAGGAAGAAATGAGAGCTTTTGACATTCTTGAATAAAATTATCAATGATGTTGTTTCCAGATGACAATGTATCGAAAAGCCTCTGTAAATCAAACAAATGCAATTTTCACAAAATCTGTCTGAATATCTGCCTAATTTACAATTAGGACATTCTTTTACTTCACCCCATTCATGAATTGTATTATCTAATTCGAATACATAAACAAATCTTTCTTACAATATTCCTTTTCATTCTTTGAAAGCTTATCATTTTCAGCTACAAGTGATAAAAATCTAGCCTTTTGGATCTCTCTGATAGATGTGTTTGATGAAGTATTATTATAAATATCATTTGCAATGATGTAGAATTATTAATTAATTCAGAATAAGTTCTATACACAAAATCTTTCTGTCTGATGATAATGACAATAATAAACTTTCAAATGACATTTTTTTTTAGTTTTATTATTATTATGAATTGTTGTTTTCTTATCTTCTTTGGAGGTATTATTATTTATTAGTATGATATAATAAAAATAATGTTTTAATCTATGAAGTTATACACAGCCTGCACTAAATAAAATAACAGATAACTAAATGTGTGTGGGTATTTAGGTAACGTTAAGTGAGGGTCCTTTGTTTTGGCTAGTTTTAAAAATAGAGTCAAAAATTGTAATAAACGCGAATTTTAATGGAAAAAATTTTTAAGATCAATTTAAATAAATGTAATTTAATAATGATGATAAAGATGGTATATTAATATGGATAATGGTTGGATTTAAATCTTTGGGAAGAAAACGTTGAAAGGCAAAATTTTTTAAAAAAGTAACAAGATAAAGATGATGATAATGATAAAAGAAAAGGAAAAGGAAGCAATTTGATATTTATTAAGATCGTTTTCAAGTATGCAATAAAAAAAAATATCATAAGTAATAATGAAGTCATAGTGACAATTAAAAGTAAATACAAATATTTTGCTTGCCTACTCACGTTATACTGTAGATGTTATCAATTGAAAATTATTTCTTCCGTGGTAAGTTTTTTTTTGGCTATATATATAGAATATTCTAAATATTACAAATAGAAAGTATTTTAAAGAATATGACAATGTAAAAAAAATGAGAATTTTCACTTAAATTTTTACCTGGTAATAAAAAGATTTCTCTATTTCATACAAAAAATTTCTAGCAATTAGTAATTAGCTAAAGAACTTTTCAAATAAAAAATAAACATCTAAATAAAGTTGCATGTTTCATTCTTTATATTAAAAAAAAAAAATTAGATCTAAAAATCAAATTATGTATAATGATGGATGACCTTATTCATCAAGTAAAAAATACAGAAAATGAATTAAATTGAGCCTTGGCAACAAAAAAATAATTTATAATTTACATTTTTGGACCAATTACCTTGTACAGAGAATGTTGAATGATTAAAAAAATCGATAACAATAGTGATAAAGACAAGATATGATAGTATAATTGTAGCGTCGAGCAAAACTACTTTGTGGAAGTTTTGTTGCATGCTCCATATAAAAATTAGGAAAACATCATAATGGTACTATGCAAATTTCATGATTTCGTTTCACTTTGTTGCAGTATACCCATGTGTCATGTGTTATATATGTTATATTTTTTATTTGAGGTAAAATTTAAGATCCATTGGTTTTTTTTTTTTACACAAATTATTCATCTGCAACTTTTTTTTTATGCGTTTTCTCTTTCAGAATACGTGTCATCAGGTTCCATAAATACTTCACATAATACTCTGTTAATCCCATGTCTTCTTAAAATTTCCAATGCACTATTTGCAGTAATTTTCATATGACCAGCACTTAAATGCGTGATGCCAAGAGATTTTCTAAAACATCAAGGTAAATTTTTTTTTTTATTTGTATCTAAATTAATGATTTGTATTATATTAAAGACGAGAAAAAAATATATATCTTTTTCTTTTACTTACTCTTGACAATCTTTTATAAAGTTTCTTTCATCATGATTTATGGGATATCTGGCTGCTTTCTATTAAAATAATTAAATAATAAATCAATGGATGACGATAAAAAAATTGAAAGATGGAGTAAGTCATTTCAAAATAAAACATTAAAACCAGTTTATATATACCATTTCATCCAATTCATTTGACAAGTGTTTACTAAAATGTTTATATATTTATATAGAGATTGAGATTGAGATATTGAAAGAGAGACGTATAAGAGTTTTTAAAATAAATAATATAATTAATTAATTACCTTATGGTACTTTCGGACATCTTACTGTTACTACAGTTTGCAATATATTTACAAACATGATTTCTTAAACAAAATCCAGCAGCACTATTTTTTATTTGAAATATAAGCAATTTTTGATCTTTATGTCCACTTCTCGTCTTTGTTTTTTTTAAAATGCATGTTAAAAAAAAGAATAGATTTAATATTTAAGTACACAAGTATATATATAATGATTACCTCCCCATCATCTGATCTGCTTTCGTAGCTTGATATAGAATAAAGTTTTGGATTGATTTTCTTTTCAAGTTCTAAATATTGTATAAATACATGTTTATTTTTAGTGAAAATTTCTTTAAGAATCGAGAAATAGCATTCATTCATTATATATAGATATACCTGTTTTTAAAAAAGGGATGAACATTTCTGGTGAATTATAATGTTCTATCACATCAACTCCAAATACAATATCCATGTCCAATCTATTCATTACATCTTCATAATACTCGGCTAATGATGGAGCTTGCATAAGTTTATCAACTATAAATAAACAAACATAATTATGTGATTATTGTACTTAATAATAATAATGTGTGTGTATGTATGTGAATAAATACCATATGATTTCAATAAATCTAACAAAGTATGAAATAATTAGTAGTTAATACGTGTAATATTAATAGATATAGACAGATAAGCGTATTATTACTATAAATACCTTCAAGTTCAGATCTTGAATTTTCAAGAATATCACATTGTATTTCTTCAATACGACGTGAAGAAACCCATCCTTGAAGTTTATCTCTAGTCAAACGTAAAAATCGAACAATCGTAAGGTTTAAACCTTCGAGTATATGAAAATTTTTATCTTCTACATGTAACCTTTCAACGCGTTGTATAAATTTCATTAGGTCACATTGACGCCAAGTATGAATGGTACTAATAAAATATTTATCTTCCATATTATTTTAAAATTAAAGTTTTATTAGGAAAAAAAAAATTGCATATATTAATATAGAAGAAAGAAAGACGCGCGACAAGTCTCGTGTAACATTTTAAATAAAAAATTTGCTCCTTTGGTTTTTTGTTTATCCAATGTTCATGTTTTTTTCAAATATCAATGCATATCCACCAATTTCTGCAATGTTACACGATTTTAGGCTGGTTTTTAGGGCACATTTCGTTGGTTTTTTTTTGTTTTAAGGTACATTTTTGATATGTTACACCATTCTTTATCTAAAAAAAGTAAATTTTATATACTTTTGTTATTATTATGTTTGTTGAGATTCGACAGTGAATTGGATTTAATATATAGTGAGTGAATTGGATTTTTGTAACCCCTAGATTTATATATATTAATATGTAGTTTTTTAACTTGTAATAATATT